GTCATTTGTAAGCTAATAAAAAGGTAATAGATTGACTCTAATTTATAATCTAGAATGAGAAATCTGTTTGAAAATGTATCTTCTCTTTCTAAAAAAAATATTCACTCTTTATCATCACTTATTCATTGCTCCATCTTCTTCCAATTCCTCCTCTCTGTTCCTCCCCGAACTTCTGGTCATCTGAATTTTGTTGTTTGTTTATTAACTCAATGACTATAGTGTTCCCTGTGTTTGTGTGGGTAACCATCTAGGGATAATACCCCTGCAGAAAACTGACCCTCCCTCCATCAGCTGCCCTCAATTGCCAGTAGCTCTCAGCTAGAGGCGGGCTATCATGAGCCTCTCCCATATTTATGCTGGATGTTGACTGGCTCTATCTTGTGCAGGTCTTACGCAATCATCCACAGCTGTTGTAGGTACGGTCTTGTCATGTCCAGAAGGCACAGCTCCGCAGCACTCTTCCCTATCTCTTAACCATTAGAATCTGAACATTTCCCTCCTTTGCAGTATCCTGGGCAGAGGGAGTCTGATACAGAAGTCTCTTTTAGATTTAAACACTGTAAAGTCAACCTTTCTCTGACCAGCAGCTGTGGGTCTTTGTTTGAACCTCTACTCACTGCAAAAAGAAGCTTCTTTAGCGAGGGCTGGAAGCTGTACTAATCTGTGGGTATAAGGACAAGTATCTAGAGGGCAGGTTGGTGCTATGTCCAGTTAACAAGTAACAGATGTAGGTTCTCCATCAGGCTTCTTAGGGTGTCCACAGCGTTTATAGTGGCAAATGGAACACAGAGACTTTTGGCATTTGGAGGAATCCACACAGCTTTCCTCTTGGGGCCTCTTGCTGGATGTCATCAACGGCACCAGGCTTTGCAGGGCCACGAAGTGTATAAATGGAGGATTCTTTTAGTGTCTGGAGGAGGCCACACAGCCTTCTCCTCGGGGCCTCCTGAAGGATGTGCAGCAGCAGCACCAGGATTTGCAGGCCTGTTCTCGGCTACTGTTCGGGTGGATTCCAGAGAGTGTTAGACAGTTTGGATAAAAACAGGACCCTTCAATGCCAATACAGCTGTGCTGGATCGAGTCACCAGCAGTGAAAGGCATACAGTTCGTCCTCTATGTGAGCTCACCCTTCCTCTCCTTGAGCCATGTTTACTCAGGTCTTTTCACCACCGTTCAGCCATTTGTCAGGAAAGTTCTGCAGTAGGTTTCTTTCCAAATGAAATAGAATTGCATTTTTGAACCCAAATAAATTGCTTCATAACCTTGTTTATTTAACATGTACGTTGTGCCAGAAATATCCGCAGTCTCAAAAATATAGACAAATTCTCCTTCATCTTCTACACATATGAGTTCAATATGTATAAGAAAATTATATTTATTATATATTAATAAAATTAAGCAGATGTGCATTTTTACAAAGAGAAGTATTACAGCCTATGGTCAAATTTGTTCCATGGGTTTTCTCCACAGGAGACAGGGTCTAATATTTGTAATAAATTCCTCTCTTTAATCCTAATGGATCCTACTTATGCTGTCATGAGATATTATTCAATTTCCTTCTGGTCTGAAACAAAGGAAGATCTGAGGGAACAGTTCTATAGGCCAGTTCAAATTTCTCAGCTCCATAGGCGTCTGATGTGTGTTGAAATTTTGGAAGAGTAAAGCTGGCAGCTTGTGCTTTACCTTTGTTGACAGACATGTGAACACATCTGTAAGGGGCAAGCCACAGGGGCTCGCAGACAGGGTTTCTAAATTCCAGTTTCTTCTATCACTTACACTCTTAGGAGAAAATAAAAGCAAATGACAGACTTTTTGGCGTTTATGAAAAATGCATGAGTATTTTAGACTGTTTAGAGCATGCTAACTGCATTTGTTTTTGTTCAGTCAACATTTATTTGAGGAAACTCTTGTGAGCTTTATGCTCTAGTCCCGCACATTATGATATCCAGACTTTTATATGTGTGTGTGTCTGTCTGTCTGTCTTTCTTACTGTTGTGCATATGCATGGATATTTAGATACACATGGTCCTGAGCATAGAAGATGAAATTCTTCATGATTTCCTCTCAAAACACCTCTAACGAAAACAGTTTCATCAAAGCACATGTCTTCAGAGAGTGGCTGAAAAGTGTTGATAGTTGGAAAGGGGTTGGAAATAAGACAGCCGCAATTAAAGCTTCTGGATTCTTCCATGCCATTTGGATATACACCCAAATATCACCGTCATAATAAACTGATATGGGAGCTTGCAAAAACAAAATAGAGAGTGATCACAAAATCACTTGGTTGGTTGAAAATTACTCAGGTTTTATAGAGGTTATCTGCTTATTTTGAGAAAGAAATGAGTTTAAAATACTTAATCCAGGTTCAGAGGATCACTCCCAAATGAGAAGAAAACATGAGGTTAAAAAAGAAAAAGGAAATAAAATTTTAGTGCTGAAAGTCTATTAGTTTCTGCTTATGGAAAGGGTTTTATTCATTGCACAGTTTTGTCTTAAAATAGTCAGTCGTCAGAGCTTTGCTTTGTGTTTTATTTCCAAGAGTTATTATAGTTCTTAAATATCTCTAATTTTATTACTTAAGTAAATATAGCTTACAAAGTGACTAAAAACCAACAACAACAACAAAAAAAAACCCCCAGCTTTCTGAAACTTACATGTTGTATCCTATGTTAAGAAAAATGTCATCTTGATGAGTCTTTCCAACCCATGGAAAAATTAAGTGAAGCCATTTAAAATGTATGGCAGTTTAAGTAAGTACACAAAGCAGAAAAACTGACAATAATATAAATGTTAAGCAGAAGGGACAAAATACTAAATCTTTTAAATAGACCCTGAGAAAGAACACTTTGCTAACTTGGAACAGCACAAAACAAGTTCCTGTTCAAAAATGGCGGTGGCTGCGTTCTCTTTGCTCTCTACAGGCTTCTGAAGAACAGGAGCACAGATTTGTATATGACAAAGCCAGAAAACAGCTGGAGCTTCAAAACACTGAAGAAGTCACATAGAACTCAGAACAGGAAAGGCAAGGGAGTCGCTCTGCAGAATTCCAGCTAGGCTTTTGATTGAGCTCATTAGTGCAGTTACTGAAGAAGGAGGAGGTGGGAAGGGGTGAACTGAAGTATGTTGAACAAAGGCATCCCATTCTTGTATCCATCCATTGCCATGCCCAGCGGCTGTGGGACACATAGTTTGGACTCAGAAAAAAAATGGTCTTGGTCAGGCCCTGGTGGGAGATGCCAGGCAGCGCACAGAACCTCTGAAATGGAGTACAAATCAAGGCGGAGACTGAGTGGAGAGCAATGAACTCTTCTCAAAGAAAAACTTCTGCCATGCCTGTAAGTCAGACCTAACCACCCAATCAAAAGCCAGGTCATCTGTAGCCCGATTAATAAAAACCCAGAGACAGATGTTGGGGTTCAGCCTGAAGTTCACAAAAACAAAACAGCCAGCCTCTGGCTCTTATGTCTACCTTAGTCCGAAATGGTGATCCGGCCTCGAGGACTCTCAGAATGGACTGTGTATGAGAGCTGTCTACTCCTGTCTCTAGTTCTGGGATTAAGGGTGTGCACCATTACGGCCCAGTTTCTATGGCAAACTAGTGTGGCTACTAGGATTAAAGGTGTGTGTCATCACTGCCTGGTCTGTAAGGCTGACCAGGCAGCTGTTTTACTCTCTGATCTTCAGGCAATCTTTATTTATCAAAATAGAAATGAAATATCACAGCCATATGACTTGCTTCCTTTAGTGACTTAATCCGCCGCATAGATATCACTTGAGCTAATTACTGTTGGGCCATGTGTTGGTGAATACCAAACCTAAAATACAGCTTAACAAAGCTAAAGTTGTTTCACTCACACGAAACCCAACATGGTGGCCAGTTCTCCTGTCTCAGAGCAGACCATCTGGAGCTTGTGACTCCTGCAGTCCCCCAGCAATTCCACTCTTGGGAATATACCCAAGAGATGCCCTATCATACTACAAAAGCATTTGTTCAACTATGTTCATAGCAGCACTATTTGTAATAGCCAGAACCTGGAAACAGCCTAGGTGCCCCTCAATAGAAGAATAATTAAAGCAGGTGTGGAACATATACACATTAGAGTTTTACTCAGCGGTAAAAAACAATGACATCTTGAATTTTGCATGCAAATGGATGGAAATAGAAAACCCTTTACTGAGCGTGAGAATCTCATTGCTAAATCCAGTGACACTCCCAGACACTAACTGATCTGCCGCTCTGAGACTTAGGCCCTGAGCATACATCACCTGTGGGTTTTTGTTTTTGTTTTGTTAATTAAAATTCCTTTCCAATTAAAAAGCTAACACTGGTTACCTGTATATACACCATCTTTAACTCAAGGTAGTTCTAACCACTGAGCGTCCAGGAGGTTATTTTAAGATCATTCCCTCTTGATATTCACATTGGTGGGTGTAACAGAACCAGCTATTCAATAGCTTTGTAATAACTTATTGATTTATAATCAGCAGTCTTATGCCTCTGTTACAGATGTTTGATTTCAGACATTTCTTCTGTCTTTTGAGAACTGCTCTGTATTTGCTTCTTTCCTAAAAATAATTGTTGAGAACTCTTTTTATGGTAATGACAACATTTGAGGGTGTCGAATGGGCCCTGTAGAAATGCAACTGCAAACTCATCTCTCCTCACTATCACCTGGTGCTTAGTTTTTGGTGTTCACTGAAGCAATTTTTGTAAATTAATGCAAATATGAAATGCTCTATAGAAAATTTCACAGTGTGTCAGTTGAAAGCAATTATCTAGGAAGCGTTTTAAAGGAGTCAGGTTTGCAAATGCATCTCATATACTTTGTGAAAGGGACTAATTCTCCTGATTTAAAAGATCTATTAAAAATATTTATTCTTATTTGACTCTAAATTTGTAGTTTAATTTGCTGGTGGTGTGTCTTGTTTTCAGTGTTCAGATTCTTAAAATATTAATTTTTGATCGAGTCCCCTTATGCTTTGTTTTGTTCTTTTCCTAGAGTACCCGAGTGGCCTTAGACCATCTGGAGTCTGTGCCTGAGAAACTGAGCCTTCTAGAGGATTTCAAAGACTTCAGAGTGAGCAGGAGTTGGCTTGTCTCTTTCATTATTTTTGTCTGAGTTGGGATGCTTGACATCTTCCTGATGTGCAAGCAAACTTGTGGGAAGGGAGGAAGTCCTGAAAAACACTGGGGATTTTAACGGTGCCATCTTACCAGAGTTCACTGACATTTATGAAGTCGGGGATGAAAATAACCAAACTTCTGTATTAAGATAGCATAGAAAAATAGATACTTTTATCTTACTATTAGAAATTTACCTTTTCTCTCTAATCGTGTAACAATAACTTAGAAAACCCTAAGAATTAAAGGGGGTGACACACTCCAGTGACAACAGGAAGATGAGATACTTTCTGTTTTAGAGACATTGTATTTCCTAGTTATTCCTCTCCCGTGGCATGTGAAATCCAGTTCATGATCGTTTAGAGTTCATTTCTTCTCGTGTCCCTTTAGGGGATGCAAATGGAAAGTATAGCCTTAGCAATTTATAGCTTGTTACAGCGTCAACACACTAGATACAAATAAAAGATTAAAACTAAAAGTGATGTGGTGTTCATGTTGTGAACATGTAGTCTCTTGTTTCAAATTGGCCTTAAAATCACTAAAAATATGACTTACGTAATATTTAGGTTCTCTATAAATACTGCATATTATTTGATGATACATTTGAGGAGTAAATGTCAGCATGCAATAGCATGGGTGTGTTACAATCAATGATATGGTGCATATCTCAAAATATAATGAGTATTTTTGATGATTTCATAACTGAACTATTTTTAGCATGGTCCAAGAGTCGGCTGATGCATCCTGAAGCTGGGCAGTTGCAAAGCGGATAAAACAAGTGTTCCTTGTTTATTGTGTTGATTCTCTCGCACGCTGTGAATGTGTATTTCTGGTTTAAATCTCTACCAGACAGTTAGGACACCAACATACAGAGCCCTGTGGTTTCCCTTCACCTTCATTCAACTCAGTGTGGAGAATGTTTCCCACCATCTGTACTAGTGTCACCTATATGAATGAAGGATGAGTAAGATACAGATGCCCACTTTAGACCAGGATAAACCTGTGACGTAGGCTCCCAGGAAAAGCTCACTTGTCCCTCTGTGCGCTTACTGAACAGAATGCTTACGAGTGCAGTCCAGAAGTTTTGTTTTCTGATCAGAAGTTCTATCATTATCACTCAAAGTCTATCGGTGGCCTAGAAGCCTGGCATACACATGCACAGACTCCAATATGAGGATATGTTTATACTGAATTTTTCAGGGAGAATGTGTTTTCAAGTTCAGAGTTGTACATTCCAATTTTTTAAAAGTGAAACCTGGATCCTGAAAAGAGACATGCTTGTTAGCTGGTTTTGTTTGCTATCAAATGTAGCAAGTATTTTTTATAACTTTTATTGCACTATGTAGTTAACAGTAGCTAAATCCATTGTGAATTTCTTTGATATTCAGAAATATTTTTTCTGTTTTACTTATGAGGAGATTGAAGCTTTGAGTTTTCAAATTAGCTGGGAGATCTAATTTGTCTCTTCTTTTCACTGTTGCCTTCATCTTGAAACCCATTCCATATGTTCATGTGTATTCCAAAGACATCTATGCAATTAAAAATAGCTTATTTATATCACTTTCATGAAATATATATAGCCTTAGATGAAAATATAGAAAGCCTTCATATTATTAAATATGGATTATATTTACACATGTACATATGCACACATGTATATCAGTATGATATAAATAAGAATTCAAAGGCCTACATGTTTATCTAAATTCAAGTTCATGCCCCAGATGGCATAATGTCTCAGGGAATACTTTATTTTTTTATTATCCACCCCAGGGAATATTTTCTGAATATAAACTGAAGGACATAAATACTGTTATCTGTGCCACCACTAACATATACACAAAAAATGCACTTTACAATTGTATTTTCTGATTGTCCCATAGTTATGACTACATAGAAACTCCATCCTACATTGATACACTTGACTTTATTCTTTCTTGAATATGACTGTTTTGTCCCTCTTAGTCTCCCTTCTTCTTTTAACCCCATTTTTGAAAACAGAAATGCTTCAGCTCTGTCACCTGAATTTAAAGATTGCTTATTTGGTAGAGTGGAATGGGTATGGCACTGAGTTCCAATCCAGATCTGCCACAAATTACCTTGCTCTGGCCAAGTATTCATGACTTTATGAGCAGCTTTTTTTTTCTTTCCTTTGCTGCCCTCATGAAAATGAAAAGCTTGGAACTGGATTTCCAAGTTCCCTTCCCCACTTGAACCACCAATAAGATGAAGGTTCTGTGGGAATATTTCAGACTCTACCTACTATAGATAATTGTACACACCAAAATAATTTATCCTCATTGTCTTCTAAATTGTCCCACAAATATTAAATGTCTAAATAATTGACTATCAGAGGTAATTCCTGTGTTCCTTCTTTCTCCTGAAAGTGAAGAGAAAGAAAAAACATAGAATAAGGGTCCTGAACATGCTGCTTTCTTAATTTATTTGTTCTCTGGATTTGTATGATTATGAAGAAAAATGAAATATTAAATTTGAAAATATATGCGATCCATTGGCACATAACCCCTTCCCCAGCTGTGGAGCAATTGGTAGTTGTTAGCAGCTGGAAAGGGAGGGTTAGTGTTCTCTAAGTATATCACATCCATCTTATACCTGTGACCAAGTACAGCATGGCCGTTTTCTTCTTTTTCTTTGGTCGCCTTTTTTTTTTTGTATGTATCTCTCGAAATACAGTTACTTTTCTGTACTCCAGTATTTCCTTGCTCTTATTTTCAAGCACTGATTGTTCTTTCATTTACCAATTTTGAACCCTATCATTTTTTTTCAGGTTTCCTCCAGTTTATCTGAGAAAACTGATGGCAGATATTATAAATACAGAATGCACAGAGATTCTGTTCAACAGCGCCGAGATGACACCAGATACAAAATCAAGAGCCTTAAAGTAATGTTCTTTATACAGTTTTGAAAACTTGGGTCATTAACTATCTCTAAGTCTATACAGCTTGTAAGCAGCTGCGTCAGTGTGTGTGTCAGAGTACTTGGGAAAGGAAAGATTGCACTCGATTTCACTGTTATGACAGCATGTCGTCTGTCCATAGAAATGAATGCCACATAAGAAATCCTGAGCCAGGAAAACCCTGGTCACTTGGTTGGCCAAAGATATTGTAAATGACTGCCCTCCTTCATGTGTAAGACAAGGTGTCCCTGGGACAGAAGTTCAGTATCCTGTGCTATTGAACCTGAGGCCTTTGTATTTCTAGTTATTCTCTTAGGCAGGATAATCCTGTGCTAGGACTTCAGATCTATAAATGTGTAACCAGAAAATCGGTGAGTGAGATGATTTAATCACGTTGACAAAAATGTACCATTTCCTAGTCTTGCCCCCATATCTGAGGGCAGACCAGTGAGCCCGCTTAGCCTTTATCTTCGTTAGGGTTTCTGTTGCTGTGAAAGACACCATGACCCTGACAATCTTAGAAAGAAGACATTTAATCATAGTGGCTCGCTTATCGTTCAGAGGTGTAGTGGGACATGGCATGCGGCTATCCGTGGTTCTGGAGAGGGAGCTGCTACTTGTTGATATGCAGGCAACAGGAAGTAGACTGTGGCACTGGGAGTAGCTTAAGAAAAGGAGACCTCAAAGCCAATCAGCACAGTGACACACTTCCTCAAACAGGGCCACACCTACTCAAACAAAGCCACACCTCCTGATAGTGCCATTCCCTTTGGGCGCCAATTTTTTTCAAACCACCACAGCCCTGAAGGATCTTAGTTCAGAACCAAGTATCTTGACTTGAACATTGTGATATTCTGGCCAGGTAATTTTTGTTGCAGAGGTGACATTATGCATTAAAGGATGGCTGGCAGCATGCCTGAAGTTTATTCAGTTTAGCATTACCCTTGATTGCCAGTAGCACACCTACCCAAATTGTGACATCCAGAAAGATCTCCAGGAATTGCAAGATAATTCCTGCAGGACAAAATTAACACCCCCAACACACATGTGCTCTCTCTCTCTCTCTCTCTCTCTCTCTCTCTCTCTTTCTCTCACATACACACACACTCACACACGAAGAATGCTGACCTATAGAGAATCCATCTATGCTCAGATGTGTACTTACAATTACAGAAAAACAAAAATAAAAAGTGTCCATTTTACACACTTTAATACTAATGAATATTCATTACACAGTATGTATTCACATATTACAGCCAAGTATTATTTCTACGGAGCATCCTCCCTCCTAATATAATTGGATAGAGTATCCAGTGATAGATAGTACTCATTTCAATAAATCTTCCTTAGCAGAGTTATACTGTTGATACCTTCAAAATTAAGAGAATTTCTCATGATTCTACTACTTTTTACAAATTTTTAAAGTTAGAATGATTAGCTACACTGGTAAAATTTTTGTCTTGTATATATGACAATTTTTAAATCATCATCTAACATTCCTGTATTGTACCCTACATCCTGAATTATTCATTTCTCCTTCAATGGAATTTAATGTGCAAGCAATAGGAGCTAGTGATAATTACTACTCACTGAGTGTGTCAGAACAGACTTTCCCAGGTATTGCATGTTTTATGTGAAGTCATGCCTACCCCTACAGCAACTGTCAAATTGGTACTATTCATCTCCTGTATTCCTGAAGAAAGTAAGGTTATGGAGTGGTTCAATGTTTGAATCCATATTTAAACCTAAATCTACCTAAGTGCAATATTCTATGTTCTTGACTGCTGTGCTATATCTATGTTTGGTTTTCATATGGCTCACAGTCACAAAACATAGGTATTTTTAATGTGTTGTGAAAGTTTTCTCTAAAACTACATGATTACATTATCATCAGTTAACAGAGGTCTGGATGCATACTAAACTTTTAAAACATTATTTCTCAATAAAGCATGATTTGCTATGTGGTGAATTTGTGCTATCTAGTGGTGTCAAACTGCTATAAATCAGTGCTGTCTTCATAATAGCATATGGCAAAGGCATGAATGTTTAACACGGGTAGCAAGTAGCTGCGCAATTTTATGTAAAACTGGATCTTCAGCTGAAGGCAATCAGGCCTGTTTATAGAATGGGTTAAACTTGGAAATATGAGAAAATAAGCTTGAGAATTTTAGAAATAGATGGTATAAGTGTAGCAGAGGCCCACAAATTCTATTTTACGAAGGCCATGCTCTGGAATAATACTCTGTAAACATTTTTACATATTTATCCATTCTTGTGATAAATATATAAATCATCACCAAATTCAGCAGATGCATGCCCTAAATAATGCAGTAGACTGACATTTTGTGATTCTATCTTGCCAGTTATGGACGCCAATAGTCATTTTTACAAATAAATTTAAAGAGACTGAGAGCAGAGGTCTGTGCTAGTTAGATTTTGTCAACTTGACACGAGTTAGAATCACTTACGAAGAGGAAAACTTAACTGCAAGAATGCCCACTCTGACTAGTTTTTTTGTCACTGTGACACAAGGTAGGGTCATCAGAAAGGAGGGAGAACCAACTGAGAAAATATTTCCATATGATTGTGCCATTGGTGAACCTACAGGGCATTTCCTAGCGATTGTTGATGGGGGGCTCAACATACTGTGGGTGTGGCCATTGCTGGGCTAGCGGTCCTGGATTCTTTAAGAAAGCAGGCTGAACAAGCCATGAGGAGCAAGCCAATAGGCTTGAATCTTTAATGCCCTCTGCATCAGCTCCACCTCCAGGTTCCTGCTCTGCCTCTGAGTTCCTGTCCTGATCTCTTCAGTGGTGAAGGGTGGTATGGAAGCATAAGCCAAATAAACCCTCGCCCTCTCAGCTTGCTGTGCTCATGGTGTTCCGTCACAGCAATAGTGACACTAACCAAGACAATGGCGGTGCTGCATTTTCTTCATTAGTGATTGGTGTGAGAAGGCCCAGCTCACTATGGGCAGTGCTTCCCCTGACCTGGTAGTTCTGGGGTGTGTAAGCAAGAAGCAAGCCATAAGGAACAACCAGTAAGCAGCACTCCTCCATGGCCTCTGCATCAGCTCCTGTGTCCAGGTTCCTTTCTTGCCTGAGTTCCTTCCCTAACTTTTCTCAGTGACTTTGACCAGGAGGTGAAAGATAAAATAAACCCTTTCCTCCCCAAGTTAGTTAAACCTAACTAAGATAAAGTCAGCTCTGAAGTTTTATTGGAATACAAACACACTCAGTTGTTACAAATTATCTAGGGTTGCTTTTGTGCTTCACTGTATGGTTTGGCTGCACAGTGGAAGCTATAGGGTCTATACATCCTAAAATATTTACTATTGACCTTCTATGAAAAAAAAATCTGCCAATTTCTAACTTGAAAACAGAAAACTTGACACTCTAGTCTCTCTTCCCTTACACACTATAGAATCTTTTTCTTTGTCAGTCAAATAAATACTTCCCAAGCTTTTTGAAAAAATTCTTCCTCTCATGTGTATACTGTATGTTGTCTATTTGCCTAGAATGTTTTTAGATATACTTGACTCAAATAAGGGAGCATTTAGGGAGCTTCTCTTCTAATTGGAACTTATTTACATTTATTATTTTTCTGGATCCAACATTCAGTGAACATTAATTTAGTTTTTACTAATATATATATATATATATATATATATATACACACACACACACACACACACGCACCACTGTAGTAAGCCCTCAAGAGATTCGCACACTAAGGGAAGAACCGTCCCAGCTCTTAGCAATTTATATCCTTCTGATAGGCAGTGATGGTGCAGTTGAGAAGGTCTAGATGCAACAAAGGTGATCCTCATCAGCTTCGCTGGGGATTTAGGGCAAGGTTGCCGAATCTTTAGGAAGATGCTTGTAATGACAAGATGCAGAGACGTGTTTTGTTTATGCCTTAATTTGGAAGAGGTTGTTTACTAGCATTCATTTGTATTGCTGATGACAAATAGCTGTGGGAACTGCAAAACCTTATTGGCATCTGCCTTCTCTCCTGTTATTGCTGTCATGTAAGAAAGAAATGCAACATCATGCGTGACCACACCATTGCAGGGAAAGAAGTGTGAGCAGGAAGCAGGCAAATTAGATTCTCCTTCTACCGAGGCCCAGAGCCCCTCTCCTTCTGTCTACCCCTGTGACACCAACAGGACAAAAAGTATCCAATTTCTAGAAACCTGTCAAGAGTCCAGGCAACCCAGTGCGGACAACTTTAAGAGCACGATGTTTAATATAAAAATATGAGAATATAATAATGTACTAAGCTGACCAAGCTGATGGAACAGAGCCTGGTCTCCATTTATATTTAGAATTCAAGTCAAAGTCAAGCCCAGCACACTCTCCCTGACTCTCTGTAGACAACAGAAGCATTTCATGGCCTCTTTTCCACCCAGCCTAATTGAGTTTCTGTAGGAAATGCAGTCTTCCTCACAGCCCCAGCTGTTTCAAATAGAACAGAATGTCCACAGTGAGCCAGTAACACAGCATCACTAATCTGAATTCACGGAGGAGCATGGTTTGCTCAAAAACCCCTCCATTTGTTACCTTTATCCATACTAAATATATGATTTTAATTAACATTGGAATTTTTAGTAAACTCACAGACGGTGTACCCCTTTCCATTCTTCCTCTTTCTGAGAAGAAAACGGTGGGTTTTTTTTTTTTTTTTTTTTTTTAGTTTACAGTTGAAGACTTGGTGTGCCGCTTCTATTTGAAGAAGCAGCTGTTTCACAGGATTAGAGGAGCGAGGTGCAGTGTTGATAATGGCTTCCCACAGTCTTTATGAAGGGAAGGCAGACGTTCCCCAGGCCCTCGGCCGTGTTTGTTCAGTGTAAGCATGTGTGTGATATAAGTCCCTGGATTGCTCCTGGAAGTCACTTCTCTCTCACTGAATCTCTCTGTAATTTGTTTATGCCTTGCTCATAACAATTAATAGCATTCTGCACTTTCTCGAGTCAGCTCTTTCTG